TCCTGCAATTTAAGCAAGCCTCTAATCCCGGTCCAACACAGCGCCAGCCAATAAATGCAGTTGTTATTTCCCTTGTGTCGCATTTTGTCCTTTCGCGGAGCTGGCTGATGATCCTGGCTGATGATGACGATCCTGGCTGGCTGATGATGATGGGCGTGAGGGTGGGATGATCCTGTCCTTTGTGTCTGATGAGCGTGAGGGTGGGATGAGCCTGTCATTTGTGTCTGATGAGCATGCCAGTGGGATGATCCCGCCCTTTGTACCTGATAAGCGTGAGGGTGGGGTGAGCCCACCCCTTTGTACCTGATGAGCGTGAGGGTGGAGTGACCCCACCCCTTTGTACCTGATAAGCGTGAGGGTGGAGTGACCCCACCCCTTTGTACCTGATAAGCGTGAGGGTGGGGTGAGCCCACCCCTTTGTACCTGATGAGCGTGAGGGTGGGGTGAGCCCACCCCTTTGTACCTGATGAGCGTGAGGGTGGGGTGAGCCCACCCCTTTGTACCTGATGAGCGTGAGGGTGGGGGAAAGCCTGCCCTTGGCGCGGAATAGTTGCGCTATCTGCGGTCGCGGAGCCAGAGTTTGCTCGTCGTCTCCCAGCCGTGGCACACTTTCAACCGACCGATGTCGCTGAGATCGAGAGTTCGCGGGCTGAGATTGATTGAGACTCTACGCGACGTCGCGTCGAGTCTTTCTGGTCGCCCAGGACCTTTTCCGTTACTTGATCGAAGTGAGACAAAAATGGAGCAGCAGGTTCGATTATAAACAAAGTCAGCCTGCCCGCAAAAGACCGACGACGGATGAAAAAAGGCGTGATTGCTTCACAAACAGCACAATTTGCAGTTTCTATTGTTAGCACCATGCGTAGTACATGTTGACGTAAATGCTACCGTCTCGCTTGCGCACGTATTGTCACGAAAGTTACTGTAATGCTTACTGAAAGTGACTGTGATTCATAGCCTCCAAGATCCAAAATGCCCAACGTTCGCAATGACCAGAGAGAGAGAAAGAGAGAAGAGAGAGAGAGAGAGAGAGGAGAGAGAGAGAGAGAGAGAGAGAGAGAGAGAGAGAGAGAGAGAGAGAGAGAGAGAGAGAGAGAGAGAGAGAGAGAGAGAGAGAGAGAGAGAGAGAGCGAGAGAGAGAGATTTATATATATATATATATATATATATATATATATATATATATCGAGTTCAAATATCTTTGAGGCATCCCTCGTTTGATCTGGTTTTCAAAAGAGGCATCACACAAATTTAGAGTTCCCGGATGCTATGGGCGTGACCTGGTTTATATCTTAAGCGTCGCTCTGAATAAAGACAATACTACGCCAGTTTTGTCTCAAAATTCATGCTGCTGACCGGAAGTATTATTATCTTATATGCTCTGCTTTGTTGCCAGAGTATCAACCCATCTATATTTCCATTCTCCTGGTTTTTATCCGAAGAATGGAGCTAGAACTACTGTCTCATCTACGTATATAATATCCCTTACAAGTGCAATGAACAGCTTTCTTGTTCTGCTTCTTATCTAATACGTCTGCTTCATTACTAATGAACGGGTACAATACATCGTGGGTGGCTGAAGACATAGCCTTGCTTTCGTGATCTTAACGTGCACGGTGATAGACTTACAGCCGATGTAAGTGACATGGACTTGTCTAGCGTATAATAACAAGGCCACCGTTGGCGTCCTATGGGGGATTAGCTGAGGTTGTTGCAAACAGAATGCTTGCCTGCCTGCCAAGCGAACGTCATTCACGGCACGAGCACGCTGATTCAGGGGGCTGAGTGCTTGGCGAGCTATCTCTGACTTACATCCTCTTTGAGGTAGTGGTTTGGTGACGAGACTGGACAACTCTGATCTTTATCGTGACAGTGCACATAAGGTATATGAAACAGCGGCGCCGCTCGCTGCTTAAGGAAGCATGCCACCTTTTTGTTGTTTGCACTCAATGTCAGATCACACGCGTCTGATTTCATCGGAAATACCAGTTTTGTGGAAATCAGTCCAAATGACTCAGAATTCCAATTAGAGGTTGCCGCTTCTGGTTTTATCCGAGTATGTTTTTGAGCTATGCCTGAGCGGTGGGATGCTCCCTTCAAGCGGCGTCTGCCGCTGCAGCCAGACGCATGCACTGGACTCATCACGCCCATGCGGCCTGGCACACCTAGACAAAGAGGGTCTGGGTCGACGCGCCATGTGCTATCGGTGCCCCGCGAATGTGACCGGGAGCGTCGCTGTCGGTCGTGCCGATGGAGAGCTCGCACCACTGTAACGAACCGGGCCCCGCCGCGGCCACAGCAAAACCGCAGCCAGTGAGCGGCAGCGGCACCACGAACGGAAGTGGCACAACGGCCCAAGGACATCCCGCCCCTTGGATGGCACATGCCGGGCTGGGCCAGGGACGCCGCTAAGAGCTTTATCGGCTCTTGCACCGGCCAGGTGCGGCGTGAGCGGCCAGAACCTTTAGGCCCCCAGCGCACCGAGCGGACACGACCTCCAGGCTCCTAACACACCGAAGCAGAGATAACTGCCATGCTTAAGTCTACTAGATGCCGTCCTATAGTTCCTGGAGGATTTCTGGGATCTGCATGGTTTGTTAGTGGCTAGTTAGTTACCGCAGCGAAGTTGTGAGCAGCCTCGTCATGGACCGGCGGCAAACGCATGGGCACGAAGTTCATTTTTTTTGTCATTTTACGTTGACCGTCGCCCAAAGCGCTGCATTGGTAGGTCGCTGGCCCAAAACCTCTGGTCGTGGGCTAGTTTTACGTTCAGTTTTCGTTCCGAGTCTCGTTCTCAGCGCTGATCTGTTTCAGGCAAACCGTCCCGGCGTGAGGCAGCCACACTCATAACAGCTCGACAGCTCAACAACAAATAACAACAGCTTGACTGCCTCAACTTTTGTGGGCCGAAAAGGGCGAGTCGGGCTGGGTGGGGGCTGGGGGGGGGGGAGTCCGACTGGGGCAGACTGATATCGCGCCGGTTTGAAGAGCCACCGCTGCTCGCTGGGTCACAGTCCTCCGATTTGTGGATCAGCTTAAGCGTTCACTTTGGCCAGCCGTTGCCGGCTAGTAAAACCAGCGATGTCAAGGTGACGCCACGCTCTACCTGTGATCGCTCCAAAAAGTGGGAACAGCCCATGCTTCAAAAGTTTACAACTCCACGGAGCCGTGCATTGCGATTCTCCAAAGCTTGATGTGGACCGACCACTTGCGCAGAGCTCCACGATTGTCAGTTGGTGGGCGGCGCCGCGCCGGTCCGTGGCAGTTTGGTGCGTGTGGCACCTGGTGCGTGCGGAGTTTGGTGCTGGTGAAGCCTGGTGCGTGTGGAGTACGCACGACGTGTGACCGTCTTCTACAGACTAATGCTGCTTTGGCCCTGAAAGCAACAGCGGTTGTGTGGGAAAAGATAGGAGCTGTCTTCGCGGGCTGCCCGAAAATATACGGGTGTCTCGGAGACTGAAATGATAGTGCGGAGGCATTTCTGAAGTTGGGAGTTGGTCTCCTTCTTGAAATTGAGAGGCCTTTCTTTGGGCAATGTCCGAGATACGCGTGTCCCCCGAAATCGGAGTTGCTGCCGTTTAGGTCAGGAACTAACGGATAGTACACAGAGGAGCTGTACATGCGGTAGAAAAGCGTCCTTAAGCGACACAGTTTTTGCTTTGGGAGTACCAGGCATGTTAGAATGGCTTCGGCACTTCTCCTTTAACCTTGCTGGTTGAAATACAAATACTGGTATTCTCTTTCAACCTGCCCGCATAGGTACAAGTACAATTTCATTTACGTATGCAGTACAAAGAACATATTCGTCGTGTACTCTAGTCGAATGCTCATTGACATGATGCGTTGCAAAAGCCAGAACTGGTACAACTCAGCGTCCAGTCTTTCCTAAGCGTGTCTTCGTCAACTGGCGTGAACCCCTTCCGTGTCATCCAGCCACAGAGCGAAGAAAGTAGGGAACACAACTGTTTGCCCTTGTATGTCTCTGCAGAGTAGGGTGTGGCATCTTGGGATGTGTCACCTTCATCTGCGCATCCTGACCCCGAAAAAGGTGGAACTTTTTACACTACAGCATAACTCTGCTCTACTGTGACTGACTCTCCCTTTCCAGTCCACATTTCACTGGTGTAAGACAAGGGGTGCCACTCTACATGGGCACGGGACGAGCTATATCGGGGTACATGGCGTTGTATAGCGATTGGGCAGTTTGAGCTCAGCAGCGACCATGTACCGGGGCCATGGGACGCCGCCCTGTAAGGCTTCTGAGAGTCCCGCTTTTGGCGTCCTGCAACAGAGGCGCCTGAATCCGATGAAAGGACGCCCTGGTATCAAAGCGCTTAGGTGGCAGGCTCTGGGGCCTGCCTGAGGCACGCCACCAAAAACACGCACAAATGCGAAGGGAGCTATCGCGAATGCTGGTAGCTGATCCGAATTTCGATGTTGCCCGACCTGGCCGTCCTGCCTTTCGACCTCTAAGTTCTGTGCCCTCTAACGAAAATGAGTCCATGTACGGTTCGGTGCAAGCCAGCGGTGGGCTCTGTTTTTTTCCGGGTTAACATTTTTTCTTGTGAATCCAATGGCAAGACCGATTGTCATGTCACCAACCGTCGAAACTGAGTGATCTCCTCTTGTCCCGCTCTGCAACATGGACAAACATTGCGTGGTCATCGTCTGACTTTGAATATGAGCGCACCACAAGTCACCTGTTGTGGATTGGAACAGCTCGCAGCGTGTTCTCCAGATGCGCATAATCTGACCGATGCCCGTGTCTTTCGCCATGTAACTTAACCTTCCAGTGACACTGCTTCACCGCCGCTACGCCTGAGCGGCGCTGTGGGTTTCCTCGGAAGGCGGGCGCCGCTGCGCGCCGGTGCGGCCGCCCAGAGTGCCGCCCAGAGTCGTCCGGCCGGGTTGAGCCCCCCCCCCCCTGGTGGAGCACGTGCCCGCCGGCCTGCCACCCGAGAAAGGTATATAAAGCCAGGCGGCTCACGGGCGTACCAACTCTCCCGTGACAACTCCCGCTCAGCACCGGTTAGTAGATCGCGCGGCAGATAGCGCGGCACTCTTCGCTCGGCGCCGCGGAGCGCCAGGAACTGAGTGCTCTAGATATGTTAACAACTCGGTTGTAAGCGTGTTGTCAGCTCGTCAAGGTCGGTTCGGTACATCGAGCTCACTTTCATGGACAGGGTGAAAAAACTTGGTTTGGAGCGTTTCGTTTGAAGATGATAATTTTGTGCTCAGATGAATAGTTCACAGCTTGCCTCTTCACCCGCTGTCTGTTTTTACGTGGGTGAGGCCTGCATGGAGGAGACCCTCGAAAAAAACTTGTCCTTTCCCAATTACGAACGCATACAAACTCAAGGTTTATGTCCCGAGCGCCGTTCTCGGCCTGATCCCGCTTCGTCCCGGGCGAGACCCTTCACCGTGGCGCTCTGTGCGGCCTGAGGCAATGCTCGCATGGCGCCCTGTGACAGCGTTTCTGTGGTGCTTTGTGGCAGCGTTTCGGTGACGCTCTACGACAGCGTTTCCGTGGCGCTTTGTGACACCGTTCCCATCTTCCCAGCGACATACAGCACCAATAATGCGCGTCGTTATCCTCTGCCTTCTGGTGGCCTACGCCGCCGCCCAGAACTCTTACCAGCCAGCGCCCACACCCAAAAGTGAGTGTACTGTTTTGTTCCCTTCGGGGACGGCTGCCTACTGCAGAGCGCTCTTCCCTACGAATTGCATCCAGATGTAGTGCGCGTGGCCGGTGCTGACCTCCGTGATAACCAAGTGGCCCGAGTATGGCGCTGACTGATGTGGGCCACCTGTCGATAGCAGAAGGTTTCAAAGTTGCTTGAATTGTGCTTTCGAGACATCGTGCTAAAAAATATCAGCGCGCTTCCATGGGCAGAGGACGTCTAAAGAGGCTGACGAAAAAGTCTTTAGGAACGTACCAAATACAACCCGAGTTCATCCCGAGCCGAGACAAAACATCTGAACGCCGCATATGCGCACTGCTTTCAGTGTGTTCGGGAAACTCGCCTTGTTAACATTTCCTTTCAGTTATCTCAAGGGTAAAAGGACTCTGCCGATGCCTAACGTTCTCCTTCATTGTTGCAGCTTGCTCGAAGACCTGCCCTGAAAACAGCGAGTGCGAAATCCAGTCGTGCGAGGTGTGCGTGCCAAGTAAGCAGACCCCACCCCTGGCACACCCCTCCAGAGTCCGGCCCAAGCAAACATACCCCACCCCTGGCCAAGCTCTCTAGATTCCCTGCCTTTTAAGCAGACCCACCCCTGACAGACCTCTCTAGAGTCCGGGCCGAGTGAGCAGACCCCATCCCCAGCATACCTCTTTTAAGTACGTGCCAAGTAAGCGGACCTCACCCCTGGCAGACGTCTCCAGATCCGCCTCGTTCATGGCTTGAGGCCTCGTATTGAACATTTCCCCGTCCATCCGAAGGCAAACACAATCCGCGTCATCGACACATGTATGGGTGTTTCTATGTGCCGGGAGCGTCCGTGGAACCTGGGAACAGGTCATCAGGAACGATACCATTTAGATAAGGTTACATGGTTAATTTCGGACTTTCAGTCAATGCCCATCAGAGCCTCGTTACATATGTCTACCGTGAAGAGCAGTGCAAGGCACTGAGGCTAACTATGGGTGTTATTCTAGCCCGCGTTGACTCCAAAGTTGACCTGCTAGCTATACAGATAAGGTGTCCTCTAAATGTTAGCATTTCGGTTTGACGACTTAGGCAAGCATTATCATAACGGCCCGAGTTTGACGAGGTGATCAGTACAGCCCATATCGCCATAAGCATTCACGCTGCAAAGTTAATAATTTTCAGAATACAGGTGTGACTGAAATGCATTCAATCGTTTGGAATGCACTCCTATCTATTCTTCAATCTTCTAAGACATCGCCTCTATGAAGAATATCTTGACATGCCTGAATAACCTTTTCAGAGGTTCCTACCTGCAAAACACACAAGTGCAAGGAGAACGAGAAGTGTGAAGATCGCCCCACCGGCCCCGTGTGTGTGCCACGTGAGTGCTGCCTTTTTACGCCGCGACGTTCACATCTGCGATGGTGGCAAAGCCCTTCCCCGTACTGTTTCTGGATGAAGGGCTTTAAACGAAATTGGTGTGAGGAAAGGCATTTGCGGCGTGATGTACGGGGTGGTATGGATGCATGGAGGAATGGCTTCGTGGAAGGAGATCCGATAAACGACAGTTGCAGTGCAGTGTACGAAGTAGTAGCATGTCGTGGTGTAACCGTGTCCAAGGAAAAAAGCAACAGTCGGAATTTAAGTAGCATGGCACTTAACGCAGTAAGTTTATGTGTTTCTTAGGATATAAGTATCCTCCCTTTAATATGATTTACATTTCCCTTTTCGGCTTGTGCAAGGCCTACAGGAAAATTGTTTTGGGCCTTCGATGAAGGAGAGGCTAGATATTTGCAAGGCAGTCTGCGAAGTGGTATGAAGACCTGAAAAATAAACACAAAAAGGAAAGATTCTTAGGAAATTGAAGTAAAACGGCATTTCTTGAATCACGTTTGTGTTACCCATAAGTAGGCAGCAGCACATCCTCCAGTGTGGCTCACTTTTCTCAGCCTACTCCAGGGCATTTCACTACATTTGGTGTATGAATGCTCAGTCAAAACCGCTAGCATCAAACTCCTTAAGAGCAGTCTTATTCCACGTTAAGGAATGAATAAATAGCGAGAAATGGATAAGAAGAATAGACTACGAACACTACGTTTTTCATCACTCACGAATGTCGAACACGGCCAACAAGACTGCTCGCATTTGCAGATGCACTGACCAACTTACATCATCGAGTTCCCTTCTCCCGCTGACCGAGATCGTCCCAGTGTCTCGTTACAACGCCGCATGTGTATCACAATGGTATGTGTGTGACGTTTGTGTGAGAGGGGAGGGGCATGCGTGTCTAAGATCTCTTACCCTTTGATCATAGGTACCTGCGCCGACATCAAGTGCGCCGCCGGCGAGCTCTGCAATGATCTGCCCGATGGCCCCGACTGCGTGCCAGGTGAGAGATCCCGGCCTGCCGGCAGGTCACCTCTGGTGGGTCGGTGACCTCGGCCACCCCGGGCGGTGACCTCGGCCACTCAGGGCAGTGACCTCTCATCATCGGAGGCGTCTGCCGATCGGCGAGGTCTTCCAATGCTCCGCGAAGTGGAGCTGCAGTGCCCTCGCCGTCGATGCTTGATGGCTCGGCACGGGCCTGTCTCGGCAGGGTGGATTCCAAATGAAGAATGGCAACTGTCTGGGACTTTTATCTGTCTTCACTTCACAGCAGCGGCTTGGTGAAGCGGCCAGCCGTGGTAACTCGCCACTGTCGCCCGTCTCGCCATTGCCCAGGTGTTCGGTGCGGACCATGCTCCAAAGACGCTGTACATTTATTTTTTGTGCTTTGTATGATAGATTTGCTGCGCTAACGCAGCTTGTTCCGATTAGACATGGGACCAAATAAGAACAGGCCACCCAAATTTGGTGTGGAAAATGGCCACTCAGGACAAATGACCTCTGTAACGCTGTCACCGATGTTTCCTAGGCAGTCTGTACCTGCTGTTTTTACTCGGTTCAGCACATCACCCAGTGCCTGAAGTTTGAACGGAATCTGGTCCGATTCAGCGTTGGGATCGGCGAGGTAGGCCAGTGACCTAAACACTTGCTGACCGATGCCGCAGATGTGCCGTCGTGCAAAGACTTCTTCTGTCGCCGCGGCACCAACTGCTACATCCGTGATGGCTCCCCCGTCTGCCTGCCCAACACGTGCGAGGTGCGCGTGTGCGCGCGGGGCCTGAGCTGCATCGACACACCGAGTGGCGCCCTTTGCCGCAAGGGCCAGTGTAAGTTCAGAGCGGTGGCGCCGCTGCCAGGCACCAGGCCAGTTTGGCGGCGGGGGTGGTGTTTCACACTTCAGTGGTTCAGGCCGAGTGAGTGCGGACATTGAGACTTCTTTCCCCGTCCATCACGGACACAGACAGTTTAGGAGCGGCTCAAGTGATGTAGATGGCGTTACTAGGCTTGTGGGGCTGCTTTGCATCAAGATGACGATGCTAACCACAGATGGCGCTGCCAGCCACAAAGGACGTCGACCCTTGCTAGACCGTTTTTTTGTCCCACTGGCTTATCTAGTTTATTAAGTGGAGCATGATCTGAGGGTCCCTTAACCCAACCAATTCGGCACAGCGGATGTGGAACTATTAAACTGTCAGATGTCTTACTAGTTATGTCTTATCGAGTCGGATGTCTTACGAGTCGGATAGTTCAGAACAAAGCGCGAGCGATGCATCAACGTACCGGAAACCAGACAGCGCCTCTCGTTCAGCCATCATGGCCTCTCATAGTGAGTGCATTGCCACCATGGAATGGAAGCATCGACTCAAACTACAGCGCTGACATGCCCACTTGCCCACAGCAAAACTTGGCTGCGAACGCAGATACTGTCCGGCCAACACGAAGTGTGTCGACACGGAGCCTATGGGCCCCCACTGCGCCAAGATCTAAGTCGCCACCGCAACCACCATCCGCCGTGGGCCGCGCTCGCCGCTGCGCCATTTTTGCCGCGTGTTTGGGTGGCTGTCACGCCTGCCAGCCGCAAACGTGCAGAAATACAGATCACGCCACTTCCGTCCTCGTTTTTAAGCGGGTGTTGATGAGGTCTGGTTACAATGATGTGATACTTGGTGCTGGTGGGGTCGCGCCACGAGCCTTTGTACCGTTAGATCTGCAACCATCGGTGTTTTCCGTCAAGTTGAAAGATTGGGAAAGTTTCGAATTTTCCCATGAAACCCATCAAGAAGTCAAAGACGCTGATGGAAACAAAGGTTGATGGAGGAATCTCTTTCTAAGCTACCTAAGTCGCTCAGTACATTAGCGAGGAACATTATTGACATAGATAATGCAGTAGTAATTGCCGCATTCCTCGAAGAAAAACCAGGAGAATGGAAATATAGTTAGGCTGATATTTCGGCAACACACTTTTGATCGAAACAATAGCAGCAGTGAATTCAAAGTTGCCTGCCGATGATTCCACTCGATTCTTTTTTTAAACAGCAAGCCACAGTTTTTACAGGGCACCATCATTCAAGAGATTAAAGTAGAAAAAACCAAGCACGCAAACACACGTGTTTGCATACACACATATGTTCGCATAATGTAATTCTTAGATAGGCACTGTATCGTGGTAATGGCTTGCAATCGTTCTTTGTTTAATCCCCTGAAAGCTAGTGCTCTGTAAAAACTGTGGCTTACTGTTTCAAACAACAACAAAAACATGAAGAATCGAGTGGGATCATCGGCAGGCAATTTTGAATTCACCTCTGCTATTGCTTTGAAAAAGGTATGCTGCCGAAGTATCAACTGATCTGCATCTCTATTCTCCTGGTTTTTCTACAAGGAATAAGGCTTTTACAGCTGTCTTATCTTTCCAAACTAAGTAAATGAACGAAGGGCTTCTGTTGGTTGAAAATGCAGGGACAGTGGCCTTCATTTGGGGTCCCATTCCGGATTTTCGTTGCAGACCAGAGGCTTGAAGCATCTTCAAGACGCACCGGAAGAACAAACTGAACTGACCTACTACTCTTGTCAGCAAAACGGGATCCAATAACTGATCTTCGCTCCCACAACTGACGGGACAGACCGACCGTGCACCGCAAGACCACGTGTTTGTCTCCCTCTTCAACGGTGCTCGGGGTGCCAAGCGAGTCTCCCGGGGCCGACGATGAGCTACGCCTGAGCCCCCTCCAGTTCGATTATAAATGGGCACATGGGCCAGTGAGCCCCTGACCAATGTTGGCCAGGCCAACACGGGCTTTTTGGTCGACATGGGCCCAGTGCATCTTCAGTTGGCACATGCCTGGGTTGGCGCGCGTATCCCGAGAGCTGGTGCGCGGTTGAAGTACACCAACTGTCGCATGCCCTGAATCGCACGCTGAAGATCTCCAAGTCATGCATATCCGTATGATCATTGCATCCGTATGATCATTCAAGCCATCCATCCGGCGATATGACAATCCCACAAACTCCGCACAAGAGACAAATTTCATACTTCAAATTTTCAGGCAGCGTTCGAATTTTCGAAAAAATGTCTGATAAGGTCGCAAAGTGTTTTGAAAAGTTCACCCCCTCTTTGCATTATAGTGCCCCAGTGCTATTATGGGCGCAAACATTAGCAGGAAAAAGTCGTATGCTGTGTTTGTACGCCAATACTTTCCACCGGTAAGATTCTTTTAAGAACCCACATATTCTCATGCAGATTTGTAACGTGAGTTAAGTGTTTGCTACGTGTTTATACGGAAATATTCATACACATATGTTGCTCAAAGATAGTGTTCCTTTCATTAGAATATGTACATAACAGGTCGCATGCGCGAATAAAGACCCTCAACTTTGGTGGCCAGCCTGGGATATATTGCCCGTTGAACTGTTTTTGAAAAAGTATAAACAAAAGGTTACACTAGGCCGATGCATGCTGGGGAGGGATAAACTGCCATGAAAATGCCATGTTTTGACCAGAGGATACGAAAAAGTGTGCCCTGAAAGTAGCCATCGGCCAAGCATGTGGCCAAGATGGTGGTTTATGGGCAACCCATGCGAGTCCCAGCCTACACTGCCTATGTGTTCATCCCATCCCTTGTGAAAGCGCAAAGTAAAACGCAAGTCCCGCACCATCGTAGTGAGGCTGGTCGTCCGCGGCCAGCTATAAATCACGAAGCCAGTTCCGAATGAACTTGACTTAAAGGAGATCTGCTCTCATTCAACAGAGCTCATATAGCCTGATCGAAATTAACGTAACTTTGCATGGAACAGATTGAAACCAGCCTTACAGGAAAAAGCCCGGCCCTTCATGACACCGACAGACATGCTGTGTGCAGGCAGTCACATGGCAGGCACTGCAGGGTGAAGCTGGTGCGCAAAACGGGCGTCGCGGCGTTGACTTGTGCCCACCTTGCGTCGCCATGTAGGCGCAGAATCAGCATAGGGGGGGGGGGGGGGGCTGTGGTATGATAGCTGTATCGTGCGTGCGGCGCGTCTTAGGGTATAGTGAGAGGAACGGAGATGTTTAGCAAAGCTGGAGCAGCATCTACTTTTCACAGTATGGAATCGTGAAACACGCGAGAAAAATCACAGACAGTTCACATTATCAGTGGTTAAAAGGGTCGGCCGTACTCACCTTTGTCCTCATATTTAAACAATACTCGATTGGCTGCTACTATGCTGCCTACATCTTGCTCCTATACCGAGCCATACGTACGTGCATGTTCTAAAGGCGCAGTGCCAACAATAGTTTCATCGGTCACATGCGATGGTGTCAAGAATGTTGCTGAGACGGCGGCTTGTGGGCAGTCCATGTGAGCCCCAGGCAAAGCCCAGATACCAGCTCACTTACAATCCATGTCGGTGTGTGCCCAGCTTTACCATACAAATACCTGGATTCCAGCCTTACCTGCTGCCCAAGGTTGTGCAATAATTTGTACAAGATAAGGCGAAACCCGAGGCGGAAACACAAAGCATGAACATGATGCGTCGATGTGACCAAGACATTGGCATGTAGGCAGCCGATCTGGGTCCAAGATAAGGTTCATGTACCAACCCATCTGGAGTCCGTGCTAACGTGGCCCTAGTTTGCCCATGTCAAAGCCGTGTGGATCCCAGCCTTACCAGCGGGACATACCTACCTTTTTGCACGGGACACAAAGAGCCCCAAAATATAAACACCGAACGCGAGAATTGTAGTGTTGTGTCCATGTGAACAAGACGATTACAGCCTTTCTAGGTTCCAGATAAAGCCTAGACACCAGCCCATCTGCAACCCATGTCAACGAGGGCCGAACTTGCCCATGCAAACCCATGTGCAGCACAGCCTTACGAGCTGTTTCTTCAAGTGAAATACTCCGCACAATATATGGCAGAACACGACATGAAAACGCAACTCATCAACATTATGTGCCTATGTCACCAAGACGGCGGCATGTGTGCAGCCCACATATGACATCTGGGTCCCACTGGTGGTATCTGGGTCCCACATAAAGCGGGATGCCACCCCCACCTGTAGATCATGTTGATGCGAACCCAAGTTGTCCACATGTGCCTTGATACATGACGTGTGGTAGCTTAAAATCGTTTAAATGTTTAAAGTAGTGTCTGAAGACGCTATGATGTGTGATGCGCCATGCCTGTTTAATTGAAATCGTTTGCATGTGTATTTGATTCGTGATGTGAGATGCTTGTTTACTCGAACTCATATGCATGTTTGAATGAAGCGTGATGCGTAATGGCTGTTTACTTGAATTCGTTTGCTTGCACGCGTTTTTTCGCACATTCTAATTCTTGGTTAGATATGCACTGTGCGCACTAATGGCTGGCAGTTGCTCTTTGTATAATGACCTGAATAGAGGTGCCCTGTAAATAATGTGACTCGCTGTCCCAAAAAAGCAAACATGTAAAACCGGATAGGATCAATGGCAGGCAGTTTTGAATTCACTTTTGCCGTTCTTGTTGATAAAGGTACGTTGTGGAAAAATTAGCTCATATATATATATATATATATATATATATATATATATATATACATTCCATTCGCCTCGTTCTCTCCGAGGAATAAGGCTTTTCGTACCACCTTATGCATTTCCTCTTCGTAAATTTTTTGTCGTGGTAAATTCCGATTGGGCAGTGCCAGGCACGAACATTTCTGGAGCATGTAGAAATATGGCATGATGTTTGCAGCTCATTTGGGACCCAGCTGGAGCTCAGTAGTGGCCGCCCACTTGTAGCCCATGTCGAAATTAACCAAGTTACCCTACGTTTAGCCCTTGTGGGCCCATTTGAACATGCTGGCTGGGTGGAAATCGTGCTCACAAGCGCCGGGTATGAACGACACGACGCATATGCTTGTTTTGACGTTGATCGCCACATGGTAATGGAAGGGCAGACTTGAAATAACTGGTATGGCGTCTTGGATGCCTGGGTGACCTGGAAATGTTCTGCACTTAGTAGTCTGCACATCCTTGCGGGAGTGCGGATCAGGAACTAGATCGGCTTAGGCCTTAAGATCACGGGGGACTTTGGAGAACACGGGGGACTTTAAAGGGAATGTTTTACACTTGAAAATGTTACAGCAAGCCTCAGATATGACGAAACAACTCGCCCAAAATATTCAGTATAAATTTTAAGTGAAAGAGACTGCTATAGACAGTACCATTCCTTGTTTAGTAAATATGCTTTTCAATACGCCATCGCACCCTGCATAACATTGGTTGAGAGCCAGTTGACGGCCATTATGTCTGAAAATCGTGCTCACGAACACCAAATATGAACACCTCGACGATCAAATTATGGATGTGGTCTTGGTCACCACACGACTTATGAAATTGCAGGATTTGAACGGCGTTATTATGATGTCTTAAATGACGTTTGTTGGACAGCATATAAGGAAAAAACATGCAACTATGTACAAAAAAAAGTCGTGTAAAAACGACGTTCTTAGGAAAACCCTGGTTATCACCATCATTATTTATTCAAGGTCCTGTCGTGCAACATGTAATGAAAGAACATACAACTATGTACATATATATTCATGACACGCATTCAATATACGTGATCGCCTCAGCAGCACACACATAAAGTGT